GGATATAGATGCTAACATTTCATTAACAGAAAAATCCCTTCCCTTGATGAAGGGTGTGGATATTTCTGTGGCCCATCACCATTTCAGTTGGATGGAGCCAAAAAATGAGCTTGGTGTCTTGGAGTTCAAACTCCTGTGCTGCATTCTTAACACATAAAACTTAATGGTTTTATGGCATCAGTGCTCCAAAATGTATTTGAATTTTTAAGTGCCTGTAGGTGCAAACAGGATATGAGTCTTTCAGATTTAAAACAAGTTTTCTCTTTCAGGTGGACTAAACCCAGAGCTGTTTCCAAGCACATTTTAATTCCAAATACATCTTTGTCAGGCCAACCACTCAGTGTGATAGAATTAAAGACAGTGCAGTTATCTCACAAAATACTTCTATTAAAGTGCTTTTTGGTTTGATGCTGAGCATTTTTCCCCAGGTTGTAGGAAGCATGGATGCCCATCCCAACCGTTACTGTGCCACCGTGCGGGTGCAGCAGCACCGCCAGGAAATCATCCAGGATTTGGCTGCCATGGTCAGGGAGTTGCTTATCCAGTTCTACAAATCAACGAGATTCAAACCAACTCGCATCATCTTCTACAGGGATGGTGTTTCTGAGGGGCAGTTCCAACAGGTGATACTGATCTTTTTGAAATACTGATGGTGTAGTTTTGTGGTAGGAATGGAATTTTATAATACCACCTTTAAGTGGTTGGAGTTACAAGAAGTACAATCTCAACAAATCTTCCCACAACGAATTTGTTGGATTCTAACCAAGCAGGCAGGAGAAGTGTTTCCGTATTTTTCATGTGCTTTTGAAAATACTTTTCCCCTTTAAAATATTTCCTCTTACAAAATTATAAGTGAAAAGTGTAGTTTTAGCACTCAAGTTATGTTCCACATCTGTTTCCTATTTAGGATATATTAGTCAGACTGTATCCTATAGAACTTGAGCAGTAAAGAAAAATATTTATTTTTTTTTTAACGAGGATTAATAAATACTGGATTTTCAGTCATTTTTATTCCTGTTAAAACTCATCAGATACTTTATCATATTTATTTTGTTTGCTTGCTAGTACCATATTTTATGAAATATTTTTGTGTATATTTTAAAGACATTTATATACACTTTCCAATATGTAAATAAAAGATTCAGAATTGAGTCAGCTTCTCAAAATCCAGGGGAATAGAGGAAAGGCCACTTGCTAAACTTGAGTTGATAAATTCGAGTATGAACTTTTGATATATCCTCCTTTCAGTTGTCACTGGTTTTCACTGAATTTTTTCATGTATAATTAACCCACATTCCAAATTGTTGATTTTTGGTTTGTTCCACTTTCCTTATTATTGATGTCTGTAGTCCTGCATGGGGCTGCACAAAGCTGAGAAAGAGCAGCTGAGCATTTCTGGATTTTATCCCTTGTCCTAGTCTGAGAAATAATTAGTCTGTTGTATTCAGTAGCCTAATTAAATGTTCATTTGTATTTGGTAGTTAAAAAGATTTTGACATGCAAGTTATTAGTCCGAGCCTTGTGCTTGGAGCTGAATGAATATGGAAGCAGCTCTCCTGGCTCAGGAAACTGATGATGTAATTTGCCCTTATCAGGGGAAGAAAGTAAAGTTTTGTCCTGAAAACTTTGACATCTCATTACTCTGAGTGACAGGCAAAAAGGAACATGATAAATTAACTGTGGATAAATAAAATAAATCTGTAGATAAATAAGAGTAATTTGTATGATGGCAATTGTTCATGTTGATCACACCTCTCTGTGTGTGGCTTAGGTTCTCCACCATGAGCTGCTGGCTATCAGGGAGGCTTGCATTAAACTGGAGAAGGATTATCAGCCTGGCATCACATTTATAGTGGTGCAGAAAAGGCACCACACCAGACTCTTCTGCACGGATAAAAACGAACGGGTACGTTCTCATTGAGACCCCCAAATGTCCAGCAAGCAGTGAAGTCACCAATCACTGTTCATCTGTGGTACTTGCTGGGTGGAGATCAGACTCCCCAAGTTGATTTTTGCTGGGTGGAGATCAGACTCCCCAAGTTGATTTTTGGTACTTTCTGGGTGGAGATCAGACTCCCCAAGTTGATTTTTGGTACTTTCTGGGTGGAGATCAGACTCCTCAAGTTGATTTTTGGTACTTTCTGGGTGAAGAGGAGACTCCCCAAGTGCAGGAATGGAGCTGTTGCTGAGAACAGAGAGTTTCTCATGGCAAAGCTCTGATCACAGATTGGACTTTGCATGTTCTCCTTCCTTCTGTCAGGCTTCTCCATGGGAGCACTTGGATCCCACTAG